GTCGGGTCTGCGGGGCGCACAGCACAGGCTTGGGCCCCCGTGGGGCGTCCTGGCGGACTTCTCGCTGCGGGGAGGCTGAGCTGTGACGGAGCAGCTAGAGCTTAACCAGCGGTTCTCAACCTGTGGATCGCGACCCCTTTGGCGGTCGAACGACCCTTTCACAGGGGTCGCCTAAGACCATCCTGCATATCAGATATTTACATGACGATTCATAACAGTAGCAACATTACAGTTATGAAGTAGCAACGAAAATAATTTTATGGTTGGATCACAACATGAGGAACTGTATTTAAAGGACCAGAAGGTTGAGAACCACTGTCAGCGAAGGCTCCGCGGAAAGGGTGACCCGGAGGGCAGCCCGGGCTCCTTCCTCAGCCTCGGCTTGTGCTCGCCCACCGCTGCCGCAAAAAAAAAAAAAAAAAAAAAAAGGGAAAAAATTACTTTCTGCGGTTCCAAGTCACATCACATCAAACAAAGTTTTTTTGTGAAAAACTTTGAAAGATTGTAGAGCACCGTAATTTTGAAATTAATTTGCTCTAACTCATACAATTTGCGGTGGTTTGTTTTCTCTGCAATCACCGTGCATAGAGGATGCTGAAGTGAGAGGCTCTGAATCACAAATTACTTCCTTAAGTAATGAAGTTGTATGGCCACGCCCAGGTTCCATGTGCGTGTGTGTGTGTGTGTGTGTGTGCGTGTGTGTGTGTGCGCGCGCGCGTGTGTTTCTCCAGCCACTGTGTCCGCGGGGACTGCTTTTCTGGGTATTTCATTATTGCAAACATCTGGCGCCACAGCCTGGTCCGTAGCAGGTGCTTGATAAAATGGTGAGTAAAGGGATCGCAGTGATAGCAAGAGAGTTTAGGGAGAACAGAGGCGGCATTAAATTACACTGAAAGAGGAACTTACTGTCTTTTCAGCTTGCTTTCAAGCCTTCGGAAAGGGGGAACGTCTCAATTCAGTGCTAACATGTTTCTAATCTCTCCCTGTTAATCTCTCCCTCTCTAACAAGGGCTTCTGTTGCCCGTGTTATCTAAATAGAAATGAATAACTTCTCTGTTTCTTCTAGTTTTATAATTGCTTTATTTTTAGGGCTATTCATGCTAGTTTCCTATTTATGGTAATTGTATACCCTTTGAAGAATAAAAGTATGTGTAGTTTAATGAATAAACTTATTTAAATTAACTAAGTATAATAAAATTTAAAAATACACTTCCTAGAATTAAAAAACAAATTAAATAGAGATCAATTAAAAATATAAATTTGTTTAAACAACGTTTAAGAATTTATTTTAATTTAAAAATAAACCTGTTTATAAACTTAATATAAATTACAATGTGTCTCTGAAAAATGGGTCATGTCAAGAAACTTCGGTAAATGGCAGTGCAGGTGGTGCACAGCCGAGGCACCAGTTTCAAAGGAAGGATGTGAGGAGCTGAGGTGGGGGAACACAGCATTGTCTGAGACCTGTTTGAAGAGGATTGAGGGCCTTTCAGGGAGAGAACAGCCTGTACCAAGACCAGGGACGTGAGAATGTCGACACATTCTGGGACATACAAATAGATCCCTTTGGCAGGCACGGTGGAAGGACCTGGCAGGGCTCGGCGACAGGCGGGCTGGTTATGACAGGCCTGAGGGCTGAGTAAGGAGTTTGGATTTCATTTTAAAGGAGACGTTCTCAATTCCATCAGAATCAGCCGCCCTGTAATAACAAATATTTTATTACTATCCTCCAATGAAATGAATAGATAATAAAACCCACCTATACACAAAAAGTTAATGTCAATATAAAATCCTACTTGTACTACTCAGGAGAAAGAGAAGTATCTAGTAATAAATAAAGTGTGTTTGAGCGCGGGAACACTCAGGCACAGGGAAGCAGTCTGTATAGAACTTCAGTGGATGCAATGGCTGCAAAGGCGTCGTGTCCAGGCGCCTGGCAGACCGGCCGCCCAAAGACAACCAGGCCGCGGTGGGAGATGTGCTTTTCTGAAATGGTGACCAAGTCTTGGCAAACTTCCAAACAAAGCAGAGTGCAGCTGTCCCCCTACATAGATAGTAGCTGCGTGACTGAAAAGTGGGGTGGGTACTCAAACCTTACAAACAATACATTGTGTCCATGTGTAAAATGGGACTCGACTCTAGCCTCATACAATGCCAACGTGGTTTAAAAAATATACTAATATATCTTATTTTTTAGTACACAGTTTTAAATTCCCAGAATAGTTGAGCAAAGTACATAGAGTCCATATACTCACCCTCCCACCCCATTCTGTTTCCCTTAATGACAACCATGGGCTGCATAATGATGTTTTTGCGGTAACCACAAACCGCACATGGGAGAGTTTTATGGGATCAGGGTTTGTCGACTTCAGTCCTATTGTCATTTTGTCAGATAATTCTGTGTTGTGGGGCTGTCCTGTGCCTCCTAGACCACACCCCCTACATGCCAGGAGCACCTTCCCCAGGCGTGTTAAACAGTGTCTCCACAGATTGCCAAATGGCCCCGGGGGCAAAATTGCTCCTGGTTGAGAAACCTGTTCTGGGGCACTTGTTCTCAGCTCGGGGCCTCGGAGCTCCGCCTCTCCCCTCACTGAGAGCCCAACCCAACACCCTCTTTTTATAGCACATTTTGTAACACCACTTTGATAATCCTGAAAGAGATTTACAAGTAACATAACCAATGCACACAATGTAAAAGCAATGCTAATGCCCTAAGTGTAAGGCAAAGGAAAGCTGAAATGAATAATTTATAATAAAAGAGTAAGTATCTCGCCCTAACCGGTTTGGCTCAGTGGATAGAACATCGGCTTGCAGACGCAAGGGTCCCAGGTTCAATTCCGGTCAAGGGCATGTACCTTGGTTGTGGGCACAGCCCCAGTAGGGGGTGTGCAGGAGGCAGCTGATCGATGTTTCTCTCTTATCGATGTTTCTAACTCTCTATCCCTCTCCCTTCCTCTCTGTAAAAAAAATCAATAAAATATATTAAAATAAAAGAATAAGTATCTCAATAGGTAAATCTTTGGGCACAACTATAAAATAGAGTTTGATGCTTGTACTTCTAATAAATATGCTTAGATTTAAGAGGAGTTAGAGGATCAGAAGGTAATTCAAGAAGAACAGGAAAATGAAAGCGCAATGATACAGGTGAATACCAGAATAAGAGCACAGGAAGGATAAGTAACAACAGACCAGACTTATTTGTGTGTGATAAGAGAAAGGGATACATAACCTTCATTGAAATCTATATATCATGCCAAAATACATTCCCGCTGAAGTAGAGAAAATAAGAAGTTATGATATTTTTGTAAATGATCTGAGTTTTATTTATGTTTTCTGTCAAAATAATTCCTGATATAATGACGTGGGATTGTGTCACAAGACATGTCTCCTGTTTTGAAATCTCACTTCATATGAAGGCATAGAGAGAGTCCCTAATACTCAAGAAGCTGGGGATCATAATATCTTTTGGTACAATAATAGAGTATAGAGTGGATTGCAAAGAATAAGCAGTAATATGAGATTGTGGTTGGTTGGGTATGTTTCTGGGAAAAGTATATGAGTAAGATTTTTAAAAAAAGTCTAGGTAATGCAAAATGAGTAAATAATTACAATATGCAATTTTCATATTATAGATTTCTTTTTTTATATCTTTATTGATTTTTTTTACAGAGAGGAAGGGAGAGGGATAGAGAGTTAGAAATATTGATGAGAGAGAAATATCGATCAGCTGCCCGCTGCACACCTCCCACTGGGGATGTGCTCGCAACCAAGGTACATGCCCTTGACCGGAATCCAACCTGGGACCCTTCAGTCCGCAGGCCGACGCTCTATCCACTGAGCCAAACCAGGCAGGGCTTGTAGATTTCTTATGGAATTATAAATACGTTAAATATGACTTCATTATACAAAGTTGCTTTAAAACAACCTTTATAAATTAAATGCATTGAGATCCTGCATTTCACTTATTCCCATTAATTAATAATATTTTGTTCTAAGTCTGTTCAAAGGAGTCCTCCTTAGAGTTCTTAATACATATTTACAATTGGTTCTGTTGTTTTTGCAGTATCCATGCTGGTGCAGTGAGGGTCTTTGGATTAAATACATTGTTGGAAATGCTACCATATGCTATTTAGTTCTATCCAAAGAAGTGGAGGTGAAAGTCATAATTGGATCCAAAACTACTCATAAGTAGATTAAATCACGTCTGGGGCTCAAACAGAGTTTTAAATCCAAATAACTCTCCCTGTCAGTGTTGGCAAGCACTCCCGATCTGCTTCAGGTGGATTTAATGCCCAAACTAGACTGTAAGTGCAAACTTATCCTCAAATCTGGCCATTGTATCTTTGTCACTTAACATAATACCCAAAGAGAGAATCTTAAGGCCTGATCACATCAAATTGCTACAAAAATGGAAGCTGGAAAATTCCTGTAAGAAGGGTTATTTTTATTTTTAAATTATTTTGATTTTATTTTTCAATTACAGTTGACATCCAATATTATTTTGTATTAGCTTCATGTGTACAGCATACTGGCTAAACAATTATATAATTTACAAAGTGACCCCTCCCCCCCGGGATACTTCTAGTACCCACCTGGCACTATACATAGTTATTACAGTATTATTGACTATATTCCCTTTGCTGTACTTTACATCCCCCTGACTATTTCGTGATTACCAGTTTGTACTTCTTAATCCAAGAAGCATTGTTTGTAAATATCATAATAATTCCCTTCATTTTAGTGGGTTTTTTCCTCCTTTTCCAGCAGATGAACTTTTCAAATGTATCTAAAGCTATATGACATCATTTTTGCAATATCTCAATTATGATGTTTAATTATTTCCTTGATTGAATTGATTAATCCCCCAATAATACCAAATTGTAAAGAAAATATTTTTAAAGACTTCCTTTGCAGAGCCATTTTACTTCTAAGGGATGCTACCATATGCTATTTAGCTCTATCCAAAGAAGTGGAGGTGAAAGTCATAATTGGATCCAAAACTACTCATAAGTAGATTAAATCATGTCTGGGGCTCAAACAGAGTTTTAAATCCAAATAACTCTCCCTGTCAGTGTTGGCAAGCACTCCCGATCTGCTTCAGGTGGATTTAATGCCCAAACTAGACTGTAAGTGCAAACTTATCCTCAAATCTGGCCATTGTATCTTTGTCACTTAACATAATACCCAAAGAGAGAATCTTAAGGCCTGATCACATCAAATTGCTACAAAAATGGAAGCTGGAAAATTCCTATAAGAAGGGTTATTTTTATTTTTAAATTATTTTGATTTTATTTTTCAATTACAGTTGACATTCAATATTATTTTGTATTAGCTTCATGTGTACAGCATACTGGCTAAACAATTATATAATTTACAAAGTGACCCCTCCCCCCCGGGATACTTCTAGTACCCACCTGGCACTATACATAGTTATTACAGTATTATTGACTATATTCCCTTTGCTGTACTTTACATCCCCCTGACTATTTCGTGATTACCAGTTTGTACTTCTTAATCCAAGAAGCATTGTTTGTAAATATCATAATAATTCCCTTCATTTTAGTGGGTTTTTTCCTCCTTTTCCAGCAGATGAACTTTTCAAATGTATCTAAAGCGATATGACATCATTTTTGCAATATCTCAATTATGATGTTTAATTATTTCCTTGATTGAATTGATTAATTCCCCAATAATACCAAATTGTAAAGAAAATATTTTTAAAGAATTCCTTTGCAGAGCCATTTTACTTCTAAGGGTAAGTAAGATAAAAAAAAAAAAAAAAAAAAAAAAAACGATACTTTTGAGCAGTATTGATCAGGAATTT